ACCGGCGGCCGCCTTCTCGGTGTCGGTGGAGCGCGCCCTGGCGGCCGAGTCCGGCCTGGACACCTATCGCTTGAGCGGCGGCGGCGCCGGGGCGCGGGTACGGGTGCTCGGCTCCACCGGCGTGGCCGCCGCCGCGGGACTGCACCGCTACCTGCGCGACTTCTGCGGCTGCCACGTGGCCTGGTCGGGCTCTCAGCTGCGCCTGCCGGAGCCGCTGCCCGCCGTGCAGGAGGAGCTGACCGAGGCCACGCCCAACAGGTACGGGGCGCGCCGAGTCCCACGCCGCTCGCGGCCGCCTGCACCTGCCTGCCGCCTCCCGCCCCCGGGCGCCCGTCTCAGAGTCCCGGCCCCGCCCCGCGCCAGCTACTGCGCCGGGACTGATGGGGCGCTGGGCTTAGGGTCGCTCTGCCTCCAAAAGCCGGGTGTCCTTGAATAAGTCAGCCTCTCAGAGCCTCAGCTGGGTCACTGAAAAATGGAAATAATGACATCTATCGCGCAGTGTTGGTCGTGAGGATTTGCACCGTGACGGGCGTAGACTTTGTGGTGCATAATTAGGGACCAGAAAATGCTATTTCTTTCCTTCCACCTTCTGTTGGAAGATGCCCACCAAGGAATGACACCCACCCCCTCACAGCCTCGGTTCTGGCGCGTGTCCCACCGCAGGGAGGTGGTGTGTTCACACACCTGTCTCCACATTGGCTGTGGGGAGAGGGACCCCCCCTTTCCAGGACAGGGACCTATGTTGCCATAGAGCGCTTAACCACTGTGCAGAAGGGGTCTCTCGAAGAGTTGACTGGAAATGCAGTGTGCTCTCCCAAATACCTGCCTGGTACAGCCGGGGGGCACCTCAGAAGCTCCCATATTGATGCGGACAGGCGGACGCCCCGTATGGGAGGCCCTCAGGCCCCTCATAAGCAGGTTCTTGGCTTTTTGGGAGAAAGATTCAAGAGCAAGCTGCTTAGAGAAGGGAGAAAGATTCATTAAGTCTAGAAGTAAGAAAGGTGCTATTTCACAAAGTAGCCATCTCTCCCAGATGAGGAAGAGGACACCCCTTAGCCTCTAACGAAGAGTTTTTTATAAGTTTTTCAGATTAGCTATCCGTATAGGGAGAGGCTTACTTTTTAACTTTGGGTGTTTTAAAGATTTTATTTATTTATTTATTTA